TCAAGGACGCTTTCTTTAACGGAAGTGATTCAGTCCAACAGGCTGTGAAATTTTTATTTCACGTAGGACAGTATATGAAGACCTGGGGGTAGGGTATGAGATGCAGGAAGTCTGAGATCCGAAGACGCGCCCCACACGGCGCATGTACACAGCACAGCTGCAGCTGGTGGGGCCGTGAGCCGTGGGCCACAGAGAACAGCAGTGCCAGGACGCAGGCGAGGGAGCCGCAGGAGCTAACTGCATGCTGGGTTTTGCTTTTATTCTTGTGGCAATGGACAGTGAGCACAGGCCTCGCATATGCTAGGCAAGGGCTCTACCGCTGCGCTCCGTCTCTAGCCCTTTTTGTATTTATTTTGAGACAGGGTCTCGCTGAGGTTCCCACTTGCGATGCTCCTGCCCTAGCTACCTGGAACGCTGGAGGTTGTTTTGGTCTTTTTAAGGCAGGGTCTCACTATGCAGTTCAGGCTAGCCTCCAACTTTGTGGCAATCCTCCTGCCTCAGCCTCCTGAGTGTTGCGATTCCAGGCGTGCACCACCCCCCGCCCGGCTTTGTGGTCACAAGTTAATCAGCAGACTGCACACATGTGCTTATACAGTTACTCGGTTTGTTTTTGGATGTCCTCCATCCTTGTGAGAACACAGAGGATGATAAATAGTGAGAGGAATGGAGATGTAACAGGAACAGACAAGAGATTCGGACCCAGCTCCCTGTCAGCCACGGGCTGTATCTTCCCACCTAACTAGCGAAAGAGAACAGCTCTGAGGACCACACAGGGAGGTGCTTTTCCTTCCCACTCCAGGGAGACTGGCTCTCACACCCCTGCCGCCCCTGTGGAGGCTCGTCTGGTCCCTCCAAACCTTGTGCACTTACCACAGCAGGATCTTGAGTATAAAGAGCTAAAATTTTAAACAGGCCTATTTAAAAGGGGGAGTATTTTAGCCCTTTCTTTAAGTGCTGTTGCCAGTGTCTGAAGTGCAATGCGTGTATGTTTACGAAACTCCGTCAATATGCTGGGGTTCTGTTTTGGTTTGGCTTGTTTTCTTAAGTACCGGGCACTGAACCCAAGGCCTTTGCACTGAGCCGCAACTCCAGCCCTTTAAATTTTTTTTTTTAATTCTGAGACAAGGTCTCAGTTATAAACAGGCTGGACTTCAACTCAAGGTCCTCCTGCATCAGGCTAGGACCACCGATGTGCACTGCTACATCTGGTTCATGCGCTCAACTCATAAAGCTGTGCTGGACAAAGCTTGAGAACAGCTGTGTCTGATGGCACCTGAGTGGGATCATGCTATGATCAGCTGCCTAGTAATCTCATTCCATTCGTGTTCACAGAGAAAATTTCTCCAGTAGTAATATAAACGTACACTCAATGCAGAGAACATGATAACCTATGAGTTCATCCAGAGATAACCACTGTAAGCGCTTCTTTCACAAAGCACAGCTTTGGGAATGTGAGTGTTGAAACTGGAGATCCTGAATTAAAATCTCAATGTGAGTCTTGAATACATCAGGCTGAACACAATTAGCTTCATTTGCTCTCACAGAACCAGTTTTTTCTTACCTGCGAACTGTAGACAGTAACAGCTGCTATCTCACAGGGTATCAGAGGTCAGTGGGACAAATGACACAGGCAAAATGCTTTAGGACAGCCTGACACATGGGAAGTGTGCAAGCAGTGCTACCCATTCTGCTGTCTATACCAATGCACAGCCACAATTCACACCCTCCGAGATCCCTTCAAGACCTTCCTCCCTCCCTCCCTTCCTTTTCTGTAACGGGGATTGAACTAGGATGCTTTACCACTGAGCTATATCCTCAGCGCTTTCAAAAATTTTCAAATCTTGAGATAGGGTCTCCCAAAATTGCCCAGGCTGGCTTTGAGTTTGGAATCCTCCTGCCTCAGCCTCCTGAGTGGCTGAGATAGTGTCATGCCATTGCATCCAACAATGCATTTGTTCCCCCACCAAATGGCTTCATATCATAAGCAGCGTTCCCTCCTGCTTTTTAAATTTAAGGGGCTGGGGATTTAGCTCAGGGGCACAGCGCCTGCCTGGCAAGCGCAAGGTCCTGAGTCCGATTCCCAGTACCAAAAAAAAATTAAATTAATTTTTTTTTTTCCTGGTACTAGCTAAATCCCCAGCCATCTAGCCTGCTTGAATCTCTAAGGAATGTGTTTCAATTAACCACTTACAGGACTTTGGTAAAGCCACTGCAGCAGCTCTTCAAATGCCGCCTGCTTTTACCGCACATGACCGCACTGGTCAGAGCAGCACAGCCACAGAGCAAGAAACAGCAACTGATGCAAGGGGAAGGCAGCCATCTAGCAAAGGACCAGAAGCCGGACGTGCGGCTGGTCTTTCTGCTCACCGGGACACAGGGACATCCTACAGGAGGCTGTAACCAGGCAAAACCCATCGGGCCCTCTCTGGGGTAGTGACAATGAAACACACACAGTCAACTGCCAGCTGAGTGGAGCTCAAGGCAGGAAACATGTGGAAGAGGAGGCCCAGCACAGATGAGCACAGGTCTTGCACAGAAGCGTGGCTGAGCTGCGGCTGTGGGATGGGCTCCTTGAGCTCCACTGCAAGCCCACTGTCACCCACCCACTGTGACCCAGCCTTCCAGCTCCATACAACCCAGCTGGGCAGCGGCTAGGACATGGTCACATTCTCCTTAACAGGGACCTGAGGAATGTGTCTGCTCCTGACAGCCCGGAAGCACCTGCCTCGACTGCATTTTTATGGCTACCCTGCTGATCAGATCTGTGACTGTATGTCCTGCATTAAGCACTTGCTGTGTGCTAGACAGCGAAGAGGACACTGTGAGGGTCCAGCATGTGCCCCCGGTGACCGGCACCAACCAGCACACGGCCTTGACAGCAGACTATCACGCAGATGTGCAGCAAGATGAACCAGCGGGGAGGAACCAGACTTCAGGCAGGAAACCACTGCCACAGCTGGGGTTGTAATGTCCTCCCGGGGCCTTCAGTTGTGGGCATGGTCTCCAGCTCAATGCAGAGAGAGGTGACAGAAGCTTTGAGATGAGAGGCCCAGTGTGAGGTCTCGGGGCCCCCCCTCGGGGCCCTCAGGGGGACTGTGGGACCCGGTCTCTTCTCGCTCTTCTCACTTCCCAACCACACAGAGCATTCTCAGCCAGGGTGCTGCCTCACATGGGCCCAAAGCCCTGCGGCGAACCCCCAAAGCCATGGGCCGAACAGTAAGCTTCTCCCTGGTAAGACAGCAACTGACGGCCAGAGGGTGCGCAGGTGTTCGTCACAGTGACAGCGGACTAACACAGACCTTCTGTGGAAGGCACTGCAGACACTCGTGCTCCACACTCCTTCCCGCTGGGGACACTACGGAGCCCTGACTGCGCCCGGCGCACAGGGCTGGGGTACCCTACTGGTCGCCCAAGGTCCTGGTTTCAGTTAATGGGATCACTTTCTCTAGTGTTACAGTAAGTATCTTTAATCCTGGAAATATCTAGAATTAAATACAGGAATGTTTAAGAGATCACAATGGAAATAGCTTTTGCATTACGGAGATTAGAGCATGCATGAGGCCTTAGGTTTAGCCCCTGCCACCACAAGGATTCCCAGGTCAAAGATCTTTTCATTGTGCCCCGTCTTGGTTCCGGTTGGTCTACCTGGCGGCCTCTTCATCACCCACTAAAAAGCTGTCCACATCCTCTCTGCCCACGTCACTTCCTGTACTGAGTCCACATTCAGGCATTTCTTCAGCACCGGCAACGCTGTTCTAGCCACTATGCACTGCACCACGGCCGCAGGCGCTACCAGCTTTCCATCCACTGGGTGTGCACAAGGCCCAGTGAGAGGGTCTGCATAGGAAATGTGACCTCTGCCTGCAGAGACTGCAGTCTAGTTAGGGATACCAGGTACAGGTAAGACGAGAGAAGTGTGCCAGGGTGAGACTGCAGGCAGAGCAAGGAGGGATCCCGCAGGTGTTCCACAGGAAGGTTACTCTGAAGGGACTTTAGAAAGAGCTGGGCCCAAAGAAAGACAGAATTCAGATTTGTCCTAAGTGCTATTCTGTATGTCCCAAGAATCAATCTTACATGGACTCAAAAATACTATCTATACAAAAAATAACAACAAAACACCCCTACCTATGGGTGCTAGGACCTGGGGAAGATAAAACCTGCACCACCCAATTACAAGTCCTACATGCGCTAACATGAGTGCAGTAGAGTGTGGTGTTGCACAGGCTATGGACAAACACCAGTTCCTTCCCTCTGGCTTTTGAATTGCAATCTATTTGTCAGTCTTCCGCCGGACTTTTGAAATAAGGAACTAATAGGGGCCCCCAGCTGGACTTCTGTTTAGTCTGGACTATCTAACAAGATACAGAGGCAAGGCCTGGGAGCTCAAAACACATACACTCAACATCAGTGACTACGTCAAAAAGAAGGTACTCTTGGGAGCTGGGGATTTAGCTCAGCGGCAAAGCGCCTGCCTGGCAAGCGCAAGGTCGTGAGTTCGGTTCCTGGTACCGGAGAAAAACCAAAAAAAATAAAAAAATAAAAAAAAGAAGGTACTCTTTTCCAAGCTGTCCCATTACCAGCTCTGGTCAATACAATGACTGCTTCAGCCACTTCCAATGCGAGGAGTCAGGAAGCACAGGAAAGGAAGAGCCTCTTTCTCGTCCTCATCCCAAGGTTCATTAGAATGCGCCACTAACCCAGCCAGCTCCTCTTAACCCTAGGCTGATGCTTGACCTTCTCTACAGGTAACTGGCAATGTTGCAAGAGATCCCCGGGGAGCCACAAAGAAGTGCGAGGTACCATTACACACGGCCACTACCGTGAGCGTCTGCCGGCGTGGAGCGCCCGATGCACGCGACTTTCACCGTGCCTTCCCAAGCAGCGCACAGAAAGCACTAAGGCTGTGTGCCTGTGACCCCGAGTGCCCTTGCTCCGTGAGCCGTGATAAGCTGGAGACCACGCAGACGGGGCGGGCTTCCCACTGCTTCCTCAGCACATACCTCCTCACAGACTTCGCGGACAGCTGCCACGCTGGGCTCCTCCTCGGGCTCCATGCCTCCTCCAGGGACAATCCATCGGTCTGGGTGGCGACTACTGCTCACGAGCAGCACCTGAAGTTACAAAGCGCGGAGTGGAGGATTAAAAATGTAAAAGGACACACAGAGTATGTTCAGAGTCTGCACACCACAAATGTGAAAGTCACCACCAAGCCCATGCTTCGTTTATTCCTGTCCAAATCAGTTTCATTTCATTTCACAAAGAGGAAAGGCACCTGCTAATAATGAGCAATGGCCACGACCTCCACTCTTCCCTTATGTCCTGGTCATCTGTCCATCTGCCTTCTCCTCAGCTCCTTTCTCTGAAGCTCACACAACACTTACCTCATGAGACAAGGCAACAGAAAGACTACAAGAACTGTGACTGAGGAGCCTGCAAGAACCCAAGGCTGGCCAAGGGAAGAACCCGTCACTGTGGCTGTTGCCACGGCCTGCATGTTCCACCAAGGCTCTCACTCCTGTCCCGGCCCTGCCCCTTCAGGTGGTTATAGCCCATGCAACTCACACCAAATAATGCCCTTGCCACATGGGCAGCAGAACAATTCCTGTCATTGCTCTAGCAGCTGAGGTGACATAGGTATTTTTCTTTTCTTTTTTTGTCTTTTTGAGACAGGGTCTTGCTGTGCAGTTCAGCCTGGCCTTAAGCTCACTTTGTAGCCCAGGCTGGTCTCGAAC